CAAATTTATCTCTTGTATTAAGTTTATTACTGCGACTACTGCTGATACACACACATATACGCAATCAACCAAAACATAATGTTGCATACGAAAAAACGACATACACAAAATACAATATTACCACCATACACACAGATACAAAAAAAAATTGACATTTGGATCGTCAAATTAGTTGACGGTATTTTCATTTGTAACTATACCACTTTGTTAATTAATTTCTAAATTATAACTAAATTTGTTAAATTTTTAGCGTGTCTGTTCTGTTGATCGACAATTTTATTCTACAAAGCTTTGGATTCCATCTAGAAAATTGATGACATCGAACTGGTCTTCTTCAGGACTAAAAAAAAAAACTTAGCATTTGAATCCTCAAAAAATAGCGATATTTAATGTTTTATTTTTGTTTTTATTTCACTCCATCTGCATTTTACAATATGAATAACTTTTCACATGTGCAGAAAATTCTACTAGAGCGATAAGATATGACATTAAGAAGCGATTCATAACAAAAAGAAACAATTCATAACAAAACAAACAATTCTGTAATAGCGTAATATAAAAAAGATTAAAACATAGCTAAATCGGTTTATTGGTCCACTGTAATCGGAGCAAAGTTCGACGACAAACAATGTGTGCAGCGGTTAAAAATATACAACCGCAGACTAACATTATATGCAAGAAAATATAACATGAAAGTCTAATTATCTTTAAGCCCACCAACCACTCTTTATGGTTACAGGGAGATGGCTGCTAGGACTTCATATACATAGATTTCATGTGATATCTTTCAAGTGACATTCCGAATTAGTCCTACTAAACACTGAGAAAATATCCGAGCTATGTGACCGAGCACACAGCTGGATTTTAATCAAATGTTCAGCTATCGCTGAACGTGATACATTAACACACCTATAAAAAGTGTCTACCTTTCTCTTGCGAATATTGGTCAGAACGTGTTAGCTAATCTATCAACCTTTGACCCGTTCTACCTTAATAGTAAAAATTGCACTGATATCTAAATTGGTAAATTATAAGATAATTGGCAATTAATGTTAGATTTTCTTGTACATGATATTTGTCTGGAGTTGTATACATATATATTCATCGTGTAATTTTTTTCGTCTTGATGAGAATTGATCGGTAAACCGGTTTAGCTGTTTTTTTTTAATCGTTGTCATATTTCGTTATTACCATTTTGCGGTAATATATATTTTTTGTTATCACATTTTGTTGTTGTTGTTGTTATGGCGATTTTCTCGCTTAGATGTAGCAGAAGGCCGAAAGTATGGGGCACCCAGTGAGGATCAAACTCACTATTCAGTCGTAATTGATTTAGCGAGACCAGCTTGCTAATCATTACAGTACATTGAAATGCCCTGCTTTGCTTTTTAATGTCAGTAAATTCCTCTGCATAATTGGTGACCTTCAGCCTGCTGTAGGTTTCTGGAACTAAATATGATTTCTTTTTTTTTTTATAATAAAATAATTTCTAAGGAAGTAATGGATTTTATTTATAATTCGATATCATTTCTTATTACTATAAACGTTATATTCAGTGGATCTATGTGTATCCACTAAATAAGCAGATAATGTCGGATTATAAATGAAATATTCAAACATTACTCCGCTCATGTTAAGGGTAATTTTATTCCCTTTTCCGTGATGTCCGCCCTGACTGAGTGGTCTGAAGAACAATTAACTTCGGTTTTCTCAGCATAATGGGGACGCAAGCGTGAATCATGCAGAAGAGCGTTATTTAGTTAACAAGACTTTCAAATGCCAAAGCCGGTAGACGTAACCTAGACTGTTGCATATAGTAAATAAAATTTTTATAGCAATGAGATATAATAGAATATAGTTACGGTAACATTGTAAAGCTAAGGGAAACAATTCATTAAACATAAAAGGGAACCCGAATATTATTGTTTATTTTATTCATTTATTTAATTTTGAAAGACAGACAGGGAAACATATATATATATATATATATATATATATATAGAGAGAGAGAGAGAGAGAGAGAGAGAGAAAGAGAAAGAGAGAAGCGAGAGAGATAGACAGAGAGAGAGAAAGAACGAGAAAGAGACAGACTGAGAGAGAGAGAGAGAGAGAGAGAGAGAGAGATTGTTGTTAAAACAAAATATGTGCTTCAGTTTGTTTTTGCTTACAATGAGATGCTAAATATTTTATGGCTCGACCTCCAAAATTTGATGTTTCGTCAAATTTGATTGATTAATACATTTTCTATGGTTTATCAATCCATTGCAGGTTATTTAAAGCCAGAAAATATTTTCAGACTGTAGGATTTTTTTTTTGAGATAATAATGATTTTTGATACAAGTTTTACTAATTAGCCCTTAGCTGGGGGAGGAGATGTGGAATTATAATTTTCAACAAGTGTATTGTCGCATAAGTGAATATAACAAACCCAACCGGAATTGGAACTCGGCTCTCCTATTAACAATTCCAATTGTCCATTACACCACCTGCACATCCAAGCTAACAGCACATGGTTTTTACCAAGTGGTCATCCATCTAGGTACTGACCAGGTTTCATATTGCTTAACTTCAGTGATCGTACGAGAACCGGAGTTTCAACGTGATACGGTCATATGCCTCAGTAGTAAACGGAACAAAAACCTAAATTTGAATCTGCTTTTCTATAGTTATGTCGATATAATGAATGGAGAAACGTTGGATTAAGTGCACTGACAAGGAAGGCATATGGTGAATAAGTAACTATTTAAATATAGATATTGAGATTATGGTGGGGGGACAGTGAGCGTCAAACTCAAGACGTTACCAAAGATTCGCGTGAAAAGATTTGCCTTCCATCAGTCTATGAAGGGCGCTACTGATCTAGTTTAACGTACTTTTTACTTGTACGGTTTATTGTTTTGACTAGAGTCGGCGACAGAACGCCTAAGAAAATGTCTCACAATATTTCTATGTTTAATGATGGCGACGAGAAGGTCGTTGCATTAGCAAGGAAATATGATCGTCTATCAAAGAATGTAAGTTTTCCAAGAAATTGTTCAAGTAGGAATGCGGATGATTGGTCACTAGTTAGGATAAAAGATAATCATCTTTGTCGCAACATAAGAACATCAAATTTAACAAATTCAGCACATTTTCTTCTTTCAGTGATATATATATATATATATATATATATATATATATATATATATATATATATATATATATATATCGTAAAATAGGCATTCAAAGAATAAATCAATAAAGTTAATGTAATTAATGGCGAATTCAGATTAAGAAGGCATTAACTTACTGACAATTCGCTGAACGACACGATCCTTGTTTTTATTAATTGTGCAATGTATTAGATTGTTCAATCCATATTATTCGCAAAATACTTTCGGTGAAAACATTCACCATCTTCAGGCATATGTTATTTTCTTTCTCAATTTCGGTGATCAGTAAGTTAATGTCTTCTTAATCTGTTAGCGAGGTGAGTTCGCCATTAATTAACTTTATTGATTTATTCTTTGAATGACTATTTTACGATATTAAGCTGCATTATTTATTAATTTGAATATATATATATATATATATATATAGAGATAGAGAGAGAGAGAGAGAGAGAGAGAGAGCAGAGTTCAAATTCCAATCGAATCTATTACATTCACTTACGTGCTAATAACCTTGGGAAAGATATTAATCCTCCTCTTCTACCTCCAGCTATGGGTAAATAGCAGGAGAGACGGTTCTATAGCCTTGGATGGCAACTGGTCTAGGAGAAGGACAACTCCGAATTCAAAACCTTTGGGGACCTTGTGGCACGTAGTGCACCAGGTCTCTGTATTCAGTCCTTCAAAAAGTGTGGTTGGTTCTGCACAAAGCCTTCACCACTATAATCAAATCATACGTGCTGGTGACTGGCGGTTGGTTCCTAGGAACTGAGCTGCCTGACCCTCATACGTTGAATATGACGGGAAGTCCACCATATATATATATATTCAATCAATCATTTCACCCCGTGCAAGTGGTCAGTAAGTAAAGCCACCAAAAAGGAAGAGGTTACCAAGAGTGAAAGAATTTTTTTTAATCAGTATCACCCCATGCAAGGCAGTAAAGCCACTAAGACACAAGGTTTTACAGAGTGTGAGAGAAATAGAAGTAAAATCATTACTAATGAGCGGGAAAAGGAAAGTGTAATCAGGAGGACAGTAGGTAGAGATTAATATTGCATTTAAACTTTTGTAGATCAAAGTTGGTTTGAAAACATGGAACCGGAAGAGAGTTCCACGAGCGAGAAGTGCGAGAAACTAGTTAGCATAGAAATTACAGCTACATCTAGCTAGCTCAACTGTAAATTGATGATATCTCGATACCAGTCCAGTACTGCGCCTAAATTCTTTTAAAAAATCTAGGTACCATAGTGAAGAGTTCATCCAAACAACTACCTGAAAGTATTTATAAAAAAGGCACAGGGAGGCAAGCTTACAGCAGTGGGAAAGGGACTAAAGCCGAGCTGCCAGACTAGGACTAATAATATTGCTGATTCTTATCTGGATCTTATCAAGGAGCTCCAGGTAAATATCAGGTTCACCAGACCATATCTGGCAGCAATTTTCTAAGCATGGACGAATGGTAGACTTATAGATAGATTGTAAGATAGATTCTGGAGAGAAAAATTGCGACACAGTGAACCAACTTTCTTATCAGCTAACCTAGCAATGGATTCAACATGGTCTTTCCACTTCACGTCAGCTGAGAACGTTAGCCTGAAAAGGCGCAGCGGATCACTTTCCTGGAGGTTAGCATCAGCCATGTTGAAGGAGGGCAGAGAGGGTTCTCTCAGATAATTAAAACAGAGAAAACAATAAAGGAAACAGATGACGATTGAAGTTGCATTCAAATTTTTGAAATCAGACAACGCAAGAAGCAGGAAGAGAGTTCAGTGAGCGAGAAGTACGAGAGAAGAAACTATTAGAATAGAACTTACGGTTACATTTAGTAATTTCAACAGTAAAATAATTAAACAGGCTTCCGTATGATCACCGAAGCTAAGCAATGTCAAGCATGGTCAGTATCTCGATGGATGACCGCTATAAGCTGGGATGTACAGGTGGTGTAATGTTGTAGGACTCAGAGTACTTCCTTCTCTTCTTTACTCCTGTGACAATGGACTGCTCTAAGTAGCCAAATTAGAGTAGGATTTGAGTAGTAGTTGATTTACTCAAGTTTTTCCGTTCTACTTATGAGTATTTAATAAACCTCTTTTTCTTTGGTTTCCCCGACTAGTCTTCTGTTTCTTCGACACTCTCTCTACGTCCTTCCTAATTCTCAGCTATTTTAAACTTCTGTGTATGATTATTTTATACGCTTCTTCTTCTTTGATTTTCCTACCTAGTCTTCTGTTCCTTCCATGTGTTCTCTAACTATAAACTTCCTAATTCTCGTCTATTTTGAACAAAGAAACATTATAACAAGTAATATAATGGATAACGACTGAGAATTGTTAATCGGATAGCTGAGTTCCAATTCCAGTTGGTTCGTTATATTCACTTACGCGACAATACCATTGGGAGAGATATAAATCCACTCCTTACCCCCAGCTATGGGTTAATTAGTAAGACTTGTATCACCAAATCATTATCTAAAAAAATTCTTACAATCTAAAAATATTTTCTGGCATTAAATAACGTGCAAAGGGTTGGAATATAAAAGGATGGAAACTACCGCAGCCAAAAAGTGAGGGTTCAGTTTTTTCATTAATTGTAATATAGAATTGATCCCCCAATTTATATCCAAATGATAATTTCTTGTTTGTTTATAAAAATTCTGATTAGGGATAAATCTACATTTTCTCCCCCAGCTATAGGTTAATTAGTAAAATCATTATTGTCTCAAAAAACAAAAAATTCATGCAATGTAAATATTTTCTGGCTTTAAATAACATGCAAATCAATCAATCAATGTCTAGCGTTGATTAGTGAAAATGCTTTCTTTATTTTTTAAATATTTCCGCACATAAATTTGATGCTAATTTTCCTGAATAAATACGAATAAAAGACAGCATTGTTGACAATCACTGGAATCACCAAAACCATCATTGGACCCATGAGCGGGTGTGGTCGTTGGGTGACTGTGGACATGAGCCCCTGGCCAGCTCTCTACACATGTCTCAGCAGGTTTTCATTTATGAGTAGTGCGCCTTGGGAGACTGTAGACCAGACGGAACCCATCCCTCTCCAGGTGAGACCTCAGCCGATGTCCCCCGCCCCAAACTTGGAGGCTCGTCTTGGTCCACTGACACGTGGCCGTTAACCCGAAAGAGGCAACCCCTTCAGTCCTGTCCGTTGACTTCAGTCCTGTCCGTTGACTTCAGTCTAGGAAACCCAGCGTTCTGGAGGAAAATAACGGTACACTTTGATTAATGTACGTGTGAATGTATGCGTGGTACAATGGATTGTGGCTCAGAATAAGACATCGAAGTTCGAATTCCAGCCGTGTTCGTTAGATTCATTTACGCGGACAAAAATACAAAGATGGGTCGTCTGTAATGTTATCGATCCTGACATAGCATCTCAGCTTTAGTCCCACGCACCGCCTTGACGTGGCTTACCTTTGTCCTTTCTATAATTAAATAAATAAATTTTATGAGAATTGTACAGATGAGCTTGTCTTCCTGATTTCTCGATCGCATGAATGTAAGCGTACAACTAGATTGGCAATGATGTATCACCGTTTTATTGTTGAAATTGCTAGATGAACCGTAAGTTATATTCTAGAAGGTTCTTTTCTTGCACTTGTGAAAATCTCCTCGGATTTTTGCTTCCCTGCCATCTACGATCTTCAAAAGTTTAAATGCAACATCGATCTCCATATTCTGTTTCCCGGGTCTGTTGTAACCTAGAGAGGGTTACTGAATAAGGAATAACCAAAACGGATATTGGAAATGAAAATGGTAATCTTTATAACATCAACAAATACAATGCTCGCCATGAAGTATATAGACAGCAGATTACCCCCACTTACAATAGTGTCCAACGTATTTATAAGGATTGGGACATACCCATTAGGGTTCTTAGGTACGGTATATAACACTATCTATCTCTGTTCCTTATCTATCTATCTATCTATCTATCTATCTATCTATCTATCTATCTATCTATCTATCTATCTGTCTGTCTGTCTCAACCTAGAAAGGGTTAATGAATGAGGAATTACTAAAACGGAGGTTGTAAATGAAAATGGTAATCTTTATAATATCAACAAAATACAATACTCGCCAGCGACGTGAAGTAGGTAAACCACTGCTAGTGGTGGAATACTTAGACAGCATATTACCCCCACTTACAATAGTGTTCAACGTATTTATGAGGATTGGGACGTACCCATTAGGGTTCATAGGTACGGTATATAACAGCTGTTCTTTTATCTTTGTCCTCATTAACGTTTTCTGATTTTCTTTCACACTCAGTCAACCCTTGTTTCTTAGTGGCTTTATTGCCTTGCTTGGGCGTAAAATGATTAAAAACTGTTAAATTTCTCAAATACATGAATAATAATAAATGAGAACAATGTGTCCTGTAGCTAAATCTCGACAACTTCCTAGCGCCGAGTTTCGTTTGTCATTTACAGTCAA